TAGGCCGTCTTCATTGGATAGATAAAACGCCTTGGTAAGTAAATATATAATATGTCTGTTTATTGACGAGACGTCTTTTAAGACACAAGGTTTTATTTTTTTTATGTGATATGTTATAATAGTTTCTCACTGCTGTATCTATATTGTCATCTTAAAGATAATTTTTATTTGAAAATGACCTAAACCAGAGGTCGAAACGTCGTGATATATTGATTTTAATAAAGAATTTATAGTCCAGTATTGGTCGTTTTTTAGTATTACATACATACTCTTTGATAAGTAAATATATTCAAATAACGTTTTTTATTAGATTAAAAATAATTGTCCATCCAATTGATATCATTTAAATTAAAAAAACATTCTCTTTTATGATTTTATTTTGGCGCCCCTGTTAACAAACAATTATAAATCAAGATCAATTTAATTAGCTAATATAACTATTTTTTTCTATTTTTCAGATAGATTACATTTTGACTTGTCAGGACGTCGAATCTGGCGGTTTCAGCGATCGACCTGGAGATATGGTCGATCCTTTTCACACTTTGTTCGGCCTCACCGCATTATCATTATTAGACAAGAACTTCTCGTTAAAATCAATTAATCCTACGTACTGTATGCCGGAATATATAATCGAACGTTTAGGTCTTAAACCGTTGAGACTCGATGCATGATTATTTATCTGATGTATTCTAAGTTGTACATCACTTCGTTTATATCTTTGTTAAAATATTCTATTTAATCGTGATAATTCACAAATTGTTCGTTTATTATACTGAAAAAATTGCTAGTGGATTTTTTTAGCTTTTCTAGGTATAACTTTTACCTTAATACCAAGCATTTGTGTTTTTAATTATTTTCTGGAAAGAAAATCTTTTGTTCTTTTGTATAATTGCATTATGATAAACTCATAATTGCAACACATATTCTTATTACAATTTCAAAAACCATTAACTATTAAAGATGGCAAATCAAATATTTGGTTAAACAATATCATAGAATTGAAAGTTTTACAAGAGACTGATCATTGTTCTTAAATGTTGCATTTGTGAAAATACAGTTCTTCTGTGTTTTAAACATTTGATTTTACCAGATTCTCATTGGGAACATTTTCTATAATACTTTTGTCATCATTTATATAAATGGGAATTTGTTAAATGTTGGAATCATTGTTTACAGCAAAATATTTTACAGGCTGAGTGACGTTTTGCAGCAACATATATTTGGATACATAGCATGTTGTTCCAGTAACGATGACGGTATACCTTGTAAATCATTGGACAAATTAATGTAGTTATTCATGCTGCTATTGTGATATTCGACCTGTAAGATTCCGGATTGTAGGCTCTTTCATAAGAATGATACGCTTGTAAGACATTACATTTATGTTGACAATTGGTAGAATCCAAATAAATGTATTGTTTATATTACAGTGGAATACGAATTAACTTGATTTCTAGAGCATTCCTTATCCGTTTTATTGAATATTTTTTTTGTACGTAGATTCTCTACGTCTAGTGTCGGTTTGAGCGAGGTTCAACATTAATGATGGAAGCTTCCCAAGTAGTTGATATGATAATTATGTAAATGATGAAGATGTCTTTTTTAATGACATATCGTTCTTGATTCAATTGTTCCATATATGAATTTGTATTATATGAAGCTTCAAGGTTTGCAAGTTGTTGAATTTATACAATTTGTTGAAATGCATATTTAGATCAAACTGGTTTATTAGTCACTCTTGTGAATCTTGAGAATCTTTTATCTTGATCTTTATCCATTGATTCAATCTGTGGCTCAAATGTTTCTATTCGATCGTGATAATTTACAAATTGTTTGTTTATTCTACTAGGTGTAAATAATTGCTAGTAGATTTTTTTAGTTTTTCTAGATATATAACTTTTACCTCAGTACCAAGCATTCGTATTTTGGAATCATTTTCTGGAAAAAAAAACTTTAGTTCCTTTGTATAATTGCATTATAATATGCTTATAATTGCAGCATTCTTATTACAATTTTAAAAGGCATTAAAGATGGCAAATCAAATATTGAATTAAACAATATTAACAGAATGAAAGCATTACAAGAGACTGATTGTTATTCTTAAATGTTGCAAGATACGAGAGCCATTTTAGGGTCGACAGGTCGGTCGGCCAAACTCCGAATTGATGTTGGAGACCTCGCGCGGTGACAACGCGAAACTCCGATTTCAGTGTTGCCAACGCCGAGAAACCAATTCTCGGGTTTTATGTAGTGGTGCATGTCTGTACACGTACATACACCATTGCATTGCTCACGCGGACGCACCGTAGAGAGACAAGGACCGATAATCACGTGTTCTCCTTGTTCCTCTACCGTGCCGGTATACGCGAGATGCCGCCTGAAAATGCTTTCTGGCCTTCCGTAGCAGAAGGCAGTAGCGTAGCAAGGCTAATAAGTACCTACTTTTTATAAATTTTATATATCCTTATGCACATATGTGCGTATATATATATATATATATATATATATATATATATATATATATATATTATATAAGGGATATGTTGATTATTCTTGATTTCTTTTTGATTATTGATGCTATTGTATAATTTGCTCCAATAACTTATAACGTGAAAGAACGTACCGTTGAGTAATATATAATCAATGCAAGGATGTTCAGTATATCATCCAGTAAATTAGAGTTCAAATATATCAATAAAAAATATTTTTACTACATATATATAAGTGTAAAATAATTCAGAAAATAAATTTAATAAAAATCTACATACCAGCTGTGTGCATGTGTGCAATTGATTTATTGAAATTTATTTACGGAAGTATTTTGCATTTATATATTTATAGTGTGTGTAGTTGTAAAATGATTAAAATATTTTCAATATCAAATTTTTAAGTTTATCGCCTATATAAAAAATATATTTCTATGATTTTCTATATTCTAATATATTATAAAAAAATTGATATTGATATATTTGAACTCAAGTTTTTTACGTGATTAAATATTCTTGCATTGAGCCATCATACGTTACTCGTAAGTTCTTTCATATCTGTATATATATATATATATATATATATATATATATATACACTTATATATATATATATATATAATATTTCATTTATTTATAAAATACATTTTTAATTCATATTCAACCTGAATGATATTTTCTATATGTTTATGCTATCCTCCGATCTATCCCTAACAAATTAGGAGGTGTAATTGCATTATTATCATCAATTATTATCTTATATTTTTTACCTCTAATTTCTATAAAATTTAATTCATTATCATTTTATCCTTTAAATCAATATTTATTTTGAATTTTCATTAATATTTTTATTCTATTAACATGAGCAGGAGCTCAACCTTTTATCATTATTAGACAAATTTTATCATTATGTTACTTTCTTTATTTTATCTTATTACCTTTCCTAATAAAAATTTGAGATTTAATTATTTTTAAATAAATATTTTAAAATTTATTATTATAAATAAATTTAAAATATTAAAAATAATTATATTTAATATTTAAATTTTTATAAATTACTATTAAATTAAGTTAATAATCTTGAATTTAAGTTTATGTTTTGAAAACATATTAAAGAAATTTTAATTTTCTATTAACTTTTAAACATTTAATTTTTTTACTAAATTATTATTAATAATATAAATTTAAATCCAAAAATTAATAAAATATAAACCAAAATTATTGGTAAAATAATTTTCCAACATAAATATATTAATTTATCATATTGTATTCGAGGAAGTATTCCATGTATAAAAATTACTATTCTACATAAAATATTAATTAAAATAAAAGTTAAAATTATTGAATATTTTAATAAATTCCTAAATATATAAATTCTAATTAATCTAAAAAAAATAATTATTCCATATTCAGATAAAAAAATTAATGTAAACCCACCCCTAAAATATTCAATATTAAATCATCTGACTCACTTTCGATAAAATCTATAGGACTTCGATTTAATTCAGCTAAAATCCTAATAAAAACTATAATAAACAAAGGATATAAAACTACTATATATTATAAATAAAATTGATAATTAATAAAATCAAAAAAAGAATATCTCTCTCTTACTAATATAATAACATAATTTATATTACTAAAATAATATAACATATTACTAAAATAATTAAAATAAATCTTACTTCATATGATAATATTTGTGAAACTGATCGTATTGCCCCTATTATTGAATAAATCGAATTAGCTGATCATCCCATAAAAATTATAACATACCCTCTATTAGTTATAAAAACAATTATTAATAAAATAGAATAATTTAAAAAATAAATATTAGTAATGTAAGGAAATACCAATCATATTATTATTAAAACAAATCTAATTATAGGACATAAATAAAAAAAATTATAATTAGATTTATATACATAAAATAATTCTTTATTAAGTAATTTAATAGCATCACTTAAAGGTTGAAATAATCCTATAAATCCCACCTTATTAGGTTCTTTACGAATTTGTACATATCTTAAAATTTTTCGTTCCAATAAAGTTAAAAAAGCTACCCCAACTAATATAATTAATAACAAAATTAACAATCTTAATATATTTAACGCACTATAAAAATATAATCTTAAATTTTGACAAATTATTACTTGTATAACTTTTTTCTATTATACATCATTAAAATTCTAAATTTAATACACTTAAATTTTGCCAAAGTAATTTTATTTATTTACATATATTTGATCAATTAAATTTATTCATTAAAAAAAATATAATTTAAAAAAAGTCCTTTTGTACAAAATTTTCTTAATTTTATTATAGATAGAAACCGATCTGGCTTACACCGATCTGAACTCAAATCATGTAAAATTTTATTAGTCGAACAGACTAAAATATTAAACTTCTTTATTTAATTTTTATTTTAATTCAACATCGAGGTCGCAATCATTTTTATTAATATGATCTTTCTAAAAATATTACGCTGTTATCCCTAAGGTAATTAATTTTTATAATTATTATAAAAAAAAAAAATTTTTCTTAATTTAATAATCAATCCTTTATAAAAATTTCATTAATTAATGTTAAAATTATCTTTAAATTAAAGTTCATTTTATTTAATTATCCTCCCAATAAAATATAATCATTAAAATAAAATTTATTTCCTTAAATAAAAAAATTATATTAAATTTAATAGGGTCTTCTCGTCCCATAATTTCTTTTAAGAATTTTAACTTAAAATTTAAATTTTAAATCTACAAATTAAAACAGCTTTAATCAATTCCTTCATTCCAGTTTTCATTTAAAAAACAATTGATTATGCTACCTTTGCACCGTCAATATACTGCGGCTATTTAAAAATCATTGAGCAGAAATAATTTTAAATTATTATCAAAAAACCATGTTTTTGTTAAACAAGTAAATTAATGAAAATTAATGTGTATATGCATTACAATATATTCAATACAATATTCTCTTAATTTGAACGAAAATTATAAATAACTTATGCGTAACATATATTTTTGGTATCTCTGTATCAATTTAAATAAAGAAGTTTAATATTTTAGTCTGTTCGACTAATAAAATTTTACATGATTTGAGTTCAGATCGGTGTAAGCCAGATCGGTTTCTATCTATAATAAAATTAAGAAAATTTTGTACAAAAGACTCCTAAATAAAAAATATACTATATTATTTGCAAAAAATAAGATGAAATATTTTTTATTGGAATAGTCTCAACTGCTCTTTTAGCTGAATGTTTAGAAGCAATGAAAAAAATCGAGGATCTACGAAAAATTTAAGTACATTTCTAAGATTTTTTTATATGATATAAAAAAAATATATGGTATATAAATTGATTTTTTAATTTTTTTATTAATTTTTAATTACACACACACACACACAAATAGATTCTTATTATTTAAAATAGTTTTTATTTTTGTTCTTTATTTACATATGCATACATATACAAAAAAATAAAAATAATATGATAGCCTTTTTGCTGACATTATCTCTCAATATTTGCATCCGTGTGCTCACGTATTAGTGTTTGTACCTACATGGACGCTACTACATATGCGATGTAAGAGAGACAAAGATGGAATGATGCTCTCTCCTTGTCAAGTCAGCATGTTACCACAGAAATTTCCCCTGCTCCTTATGAATCTAGTGAGAATCTTATCGTCCAGATATTTCATAAAATAAGTGACATAACTTTGGTTTTTTTTTTTTTAATATATTCTTGATATAATAAAGTAGTCCGCCAAAGAGTCGGATTTTGCATTTTTGCTCTAAAAATTTATAATAAATAAAATACGGACTCCTGGCTAACCCAACCTTACCCGTTACTAGCTGCGCATTCCCCCAAGTTATATTATAAATTTTATTTTCATCTTTTTTTCAATAAATAACTCTTTGGCGGACTGCATTTGAGCTTACTGATTAAGAATATCATAAATTTAATAAGATTCATTCAGTAGTTTCGCTAATATCTGGAATATAAGAATCTCTAATTCCCGGCCGACCGATAGGCGTCTCTACCATGTCGCCTGTCGACCCTTAAAAGTTTCTGGCCTCATCGACATAAAGTAATTGTAGAAAAAAATTTCTTTCACCGGCCAATAGATGGTCTTGACATATGTAAACCGTAAAAATTTCAAGTCATTCTGATCATTACTTTGTCTATGGCACTCTTCCAAAGTTGTCAGCTGACATTGTCAGCAATTGAGAAAATTGAGTATCGCTCAATGATAAAATTCCTTCATTTGAAAGGGAAAAAGACTCAGGAAATAAAAGATGAATTAGACTCTGTATACGGTAAAGCCTCCCTTTCATTTACAACGGTCAAACATTGGGTGGCTAAGTACAAACGTGGTCGTACGAGCATTTTAGACGAGGAACGTTATTGCCCATCGTTAGCCACAACTTTTTCCCATCTTTCTGGCAGAGCTCGAATACCGTTACGGTAAAAGTATTCGTCTTTTGAGGCTATCCACGAATCAAGCCATTTTTTGATGTCTTCATATGAGCGGAACTGCTGATCAGCCAGACCATGTGCCATCGAACGGAACAAGTAATAATCGGACGGCGCAATATCTGGGGAATATGGCGGGTGGGGTAGGACTTCCCATTTGAGCGTTTCCACGTAAGTTTTAACGGGTTTGGCAACATGAGGCCGAGCGTTGTCATGCAGTAGAATCACTTTTTCGTGCCTCTGCTCGTATTGCTCGCTTGGAAATGGCTTGGCGGGTAACTCCTAATGCTGAAGCAAGCTGTTCTTGCGTTTGGCATGGATCCTCATCGAGCAATGCCTCCAATTCAGCGTCTTCGAAGGTTTTTGGCCTTCCTTCACGCGGACGGTCGTCAACATCGAAATCACCGTCTTTGAAGCGACGGAACCAATCACGGCACGTTGTTTCACTTAGAGCAGCATCTCCGTAAACTTTTTGGAGCTCTCGATGCGCTTCAGCCGCCGTTTTCTTCGAATGAAATAAGAAAATCAACACTTCCCGCAAATGACGATTATTTGGTACAAAATCAGACATTTTCACACAACTAAAAGTATATGACGCCAAAACAAAATCATTAACATGTCAAAGCGGTTTGTTTACCATATGTCTAAGCTTGGCTCGTGACGTTTTGGATATGTCAAAATCGACCAACACTTACTGCTGGAGCCATCTATAGACAAACAGCGGGAACTTAGTTGCGCACCTAATAATTTGAAAAAATTTCTTAGGGGGAAAAAATATGGGTCAAATTCTGAGGTGGAAGACGTTGTAAACCAGTATTTTTCAGGTTTAGATAATCAATTTTTTCTGAGGATTTAAAAGGATGGGAGAATCGTTGGATCAAATGTATCGAGTTGCAGGGAGACTACGTCGAGAAATAAATTTTGTTTTGCTTCGAAATATGAGTTTTTCTTTAAAAAAGCCGCAAACTTTTTAATAGTTCTCGTATCAAATTGCAGATCATATTTGGAGTTGCAATGGTATTATTTACATTGTAAATTATTGCCTTTGTGAAAATATAGTTCTTCCGTGTTTTGAGCATTTGATTTTACCAGATTTAGTGGGGCATTTTCTATAATACTTCATTAAAAATACATGATTATAGATTTTTTACAAAACATCTTTATATTTTTATTTATACGACTAAAACATTTTTAAGAACGTACTCTATAATTGTCTTCGTATTTAACATCTTGCGTGCGATTGCGTCTTTTAGTTTTCAATTTTATAGTTTTAATGTAGTTACGTTTCAACAGGTATTTATTTAATATATATTAATTTGAGTTTAGATATTATTAGTTATAATTTTTGCTCATTTGTAATTTTTTAGTATTTTAGGCACTTGATAAGGGCCCGTAAAAGAAGGGCCAAAACGTTGTGCGACGTCTTTTTGTATACTGGCCAGTCAGGTCGTTTTTGAATAAACTTGTACTGTTTAATCATCACTAGCGACTTCAATTTTTCAAAGAGTACTCTAATTGAATTTTGTCTTTTAAACATTTTTCCGATTATTTAAATATTATATATTACTGATTAGATTCTTTAATCGCCAGTCCAAATATTAAGAGAATACATAATTACGACCAATGCTGGCTACTTTAGACATTAAATCAATCTTACAAACATCATTGTTTGTAAGATTAATTTAATAAATCTAAATAGCCAGCATTGGTCGTAATTATTTACTCTCTTAAATTATTGTATATTACTACTAGCGGATTCTGATGTCGATAAAATGAGAGGAGGGGGTTTGCAAAATTATTTAATTAATTTTTTGTTTCATGCTTTTCTCCAGGATCAACGACGAGAACGTGATGAAACTTCTGATTCCATTTTTATTATTTTTTTTAATTTAACAATTTTTTTTAATTTTATTTTTTACATATTTTTTTTTATATACTTATTTATTTTTTCTTTATTATTTAAATATCCTCGTATTGATAGGTCTGTTTTGTTTTTTCTTTACTTGCATTTTTTCAACGGAATCATGCAAAATTAATGTTGCAGGAATGAAACCAAAATTTCAATTATAGATATTCATAATGCGCACATGAAGAGAAGAAAAAACCGTCCATGAAAAAAGAATCCATTAATTCATACTCATTGATGTTGAGTATTTAGTGCCATTCGATATTATCTTTATTTCGTTCGATCCATTAACTTAAATTCTTAATTGTTATGCACTCTAATTAACGCAATCTCACGATATTCTTATCAATCCATGATTCTTGAGTTAACACACGACATCATACAAACTTTCCAGACAGCACACAATATTTATGATAAAGATTCATGAACATTTATGAATATATATTTGTTTCAAATATTATATAAATATTTTGAAAATGTTTTATAAAAATCTTTATTTAATATATTATTAAAACAGATTAAATATTTCATATAATATTTATGGTATGTAAAGATAATTATTTATAGTAATTATTTTGCAAACATTGTTTAACTAAATTGTTAGTTCTTTCATTTACCACGCTATGTGACGTATCTTTTTCGTATTTGATTTTCGTCGTGAGAATTATATATAAGGCTGAGAAAAACGAAAATTAATAAAATTAAAAATGTCATACAATTATTTCTATTTTTGAGCTACATTCTGCAACAGAATGTCTTTTTAACAAATAAATTTACGTATATATCGATGTGTACGTAAATTTATTTGTTAAACTATACTCTGTTGCCTAAGTATATTCACAGTGTATATTATAATTTTATATTCTATTTTAAAATAAATGTCTAATAAGTTACTTATAAACATTTTTTACATATTTTTACCTTTTTTTAAATTGCTAATAGAGTTTGAAAAACACAAAAACATCTAATCGATCAAATTTTAGATTAGACTATATCAACCTATTGTTTTGATTAAAAAATCGTTGATTACGTCTTTTTAACTCATAATTTTCTGACTAAGTATTTATTAAAGAAAATATAAATTTTTAAAATTTTTAAAAATCTATATCAAACTGACTTAATAAATATATTTATAATATTTATCACAATATTTATCATAAATATTTTCTGATTATTATGATAAATATTTATGATCTATTAAATCTATAAGACTCCAAAAACATTTATAAAATATTTATGATAAATATTTATAAAATATTAAAGTAATTATTATAAATATTCTATAAATATTTTATAAATATTCTGTGCTGTCTGGGGCATATTGCAAATTATATATTTTGTGGCCGCATCCAGACGTGATACGTACCCTTTTGAAAATACTTCTGGATTTGTTTATGAATGTAAAGCGTAGTATGTATTATGTGAATAACGAGAATTGCCATTTTGTCGGTGAAGCACGAGGCGTAGTGACACGCCTCTTGCCAACAAACTACGAGCGAGGAAGACGCTTTGCTCCGATTGGCGTTTATCTTCTCCCACCCCTTTCTCTCCTTTAGATTTGTCGCTGGTCGTCAAGATTAGGTTTGATCATATTAATTAGAAAAGAAGATTCCATGTTTCCTTGGCAAACAATGTATTGTACAATATCGCTAATAACTAAAAATATGTGTATTGCAAAAACTGTGGTGCTAATGTTCGCATGGTTGACTGAAACAGAATTGAGAACAGGGTACAATTTTAGTCAGATACGATTGTTGGAAACCACGCGATAATAATGTTCGTAATAGTCTTTTTCGCTTGGTTTTATTATCGAAAATTAACCCTTGCTCAGTAAATCTCGAGTTACTTTGAAACCGGTATGTTCACTCTCTAATTTTAAATAGCAATGCCGCTATCGTTATCGAAGTTTTTTGTTAAATTGTTAAAAAGATAAAATATATATGTATTTGTCAAATTAATTGTTCTTTAGGATAGATTAATACAATCAATAAATTAAAAAATAAGTAGACAGATATGTGTAAAATGATATAAATTCGAAATGAAATAACGACAACTGACCTCGTATACAAACTAAATGCGAGAAAATAATTCAATGCTGTCTTATATATCGTTGAAATAGTTTCTAGCTCTTTATCTCATCATCTTCGATTACCTTTAGGACTTACCAAGGATGCAGGATAGGGATATGACTGGACTTGTAATTTTTTTGTTAATTGATTTGCTGAAAATAGTCAAAAGTATCGTTCAATCACATCAAATAAACCACATAAACTAGAGAAGACTTTAAAAAGAAGTTTGTTGCGCCTCATTTATCTGCACATGGCTCTCTGATTAATCCGTTTCCTATCTAAATTATTATTTATACTATATGTATACACATTAGAACCTTTTCGTTTTATTATAAAACAATTTTTTCTCCAACTATCCAAACACAAATCCAGACGTCGTTGTGTCACTACAAGAGAATTAGACTCAACGTGAAATTACTCCAATCCTCGGAACTCAAGTATGCTAGCTGATCGATCCGCGACGCGCGAAAGACAGGGTCCTCTTTCTCCGTCCTACCCGCTGGGATAGTAGTAATGTACCCGGTACCGTACTTGGACAATGTGCATACACAGTTTGTGCACACGGTAAACGCGCGCGCGAGGTCGACCGCGAGACTCGTATCGGATTGGCCGATGTATTGGCTGTTCCATCCCGTACGTTCGAGGGAGGTGGCCCGAAGGGGCGGTGCTTGAAGGAAAGACCCGCCCTCGACATTTGCTCGAACGGATAAACGACATCCTATTCGCTGTGGAGGAATCTTCCTCTTTAGGAAAGTGGGAGAGCTGCCGCGCCATTGGATGGAGATGTTTATACAAAGCGGAAGGGGGAACCGGCCGAGAAACGCGATCAGCGACCGCCTCCAATCCGGGACACAGCAATACCACGAGGTCGCGAGGTGGGGGAAGCTCGTTGCGGGGGTGTGGGTATAGATCGGCCGCAGTATCCGCGGAGACGCGATCGCGGGTACTCGGCGTGCCTGGGCGTGCGCTCTCGGGGGGTCTCTTCCCCAAATTGCGGAATAACCCAATCCTAGGATTCGTCGAAAACACCGAGAAAACAGTGTTTAAAATCCGAATTCGTTGTCATCTAGAATGTTGTGATATACTGTGACACGTGTGCGATAACAAACCCCAGCGTAGACTCAGGCCTCGGCCGACCGCGGGATCCCGTGGTTGGGTCCGATGGAGATCCTCGTTCCCACGAGAAAGCAGCTACTATTCTCGTGCTCCCGGCGCCGATTCGTGATTTGGAAGATGCTGGCGCGCGTGTATCGGCGAATATCTCGGAAAGTGTCGAACGACGCGTAGCAAGGGTGAACGTTGCTTCGTTCCAGACGGACGGGTGGTGACACGTTAAAGACACTAATTTAACTCCTCGAAATTGCGTCGATCCATCGGCGCACGTCGATGATGCCGCGACCCTCGCGCGATACTTACGGTGACCAGAAACCGCCGTACTCCTACATATCGTTGACGGCGATGGCGATATGGTCGTCGAGGGACAAGATGCTGCCGCTTGCTGAGATTTACAAGTTCATCGCCGACCGCTTTCCGTATTACAGAAAGGACACGCGACGATGGCAAAACTCTTTGAGGCACAATTTGTCCTTCAACGATTGCTTTATCAAGGTTAGTCTGTCAGTAATCACCCGATTCGTTGTTCCGATCGACGTTGAGTCCGGAGAAATTTCTCCGATAATACTCGTCAGGTGGATAATATCAGATTGCTGATTGTCTATTATAAGTCTTAAATGAGCTTACTGATTTGATTTTTGCAAATGAATACTTATTGTTAAAACAGCTTCTTTCTATGATCAAAAAGAGCAAAGTCGATTTGCAATCTTTTCTTAACAAGAATCAATATAATTCTATTTTCGCTTTTATTTAAACGACACAATCATAAACACCAATTTAAATATTGTCAAATGAGATAGGGTCCAATATGTATACTTATACAATTTCGAGTCAAATCCAATAATTAAGTTTTATTTTCTAGAAAACTTTGAATAATGCTTATAAAAAATAATATTATATTTTGCATATTATACTAAGTAATTGAATATAGAATAGTTATATTCAAATTTTAGATTAAATATCTGCAAGGTTCGAAATAGTGCTTAGGTGCTAGGTAATAGTGCTTAGTACACTAAGTGCTTTTTATCGTAAAGAATCGAATTTTTTACAAGTAATTTGAATTGAGTAGTTTGAAAATTCTAAGATCTAACAATAAAAATCTATTTATAATATATGCTACACACACACACACACATTACCCATTCCACACTCATTCATATATTTCAATTTCTCATAAATCCTCATAAAATATTCAACTTGATCTAAGTTTGAATGTATTTGGAAGCACTCTGCTTCTTTTGTTTTTCGAAGTTTTCAATTTATAGAGTTTAAATTTCGTTCAGGTTCGAGTCTACTTGAAAGTACTGGTTTATTATCGAAGTAATCATAAAGAACTCAAAATCATGCAAACAAATTCGAACCTACTTGTACGATACTTAATCCCATCGCTATATACAACGTAAAATTTCTCATAAGTACCTGAAAAAATTTGAACATACTTGCTCCAGGTTCTAATGTACTTGGAAAAGCATCACTCTTGTTTTTCGAGGTACTAATAAAGAATTCGAACTCATACAGACGAATTCGTAAAATCCTTAGAGTTTGTTCTTTATTGCTGCACTGGTGAACTAGTGCACGCTGATACGCAGTAAGTTAGAGTGAAATATAATATAGTTATACTAATCTCACTTTAACTTGCATCAGTGTGCACTTGTTCACCAATGCAACAATAAAGAGTAAACTCTTTTAATCTCAAAACAAACAAATTCAAATCTAAGTTTGTAAGACATTTAATTTCATCACTAAAAGTGACACCTCGAATCGCGGTCGTCGAAGTGTCGTCCATGATATCGCGAATAACATGGCGAATGGAGCACAGAGAACGGATCTTACCTTTTATGACTGACGCGATGTGCCTTTTCAACGCGAATGTCCGGGTTCGTCCGGGAGCGACGACGCAACGCGTAAGGTGTCTGGTTGTTGGTATTATCGGGCCATCTGTTTCGCACCTGCCAACACGCGTGCGACCGCGCGATCACCCGTCATGGCGCGTTTTACACGCGGTTCCTCAAAATTATACGAAAGAATGCCGGCTTCTTTCGTCGCCTGTCGTCTTCCTTCGATTCTCGGAGAGTGTCCTCCTGAACAAAAAAAAAGGTAAAACCGTTTCGAGCACATTTCGCGTCGTGTGTCATAATGCGAAATTCATTGTGCAATCTAAGAAACGCAAGTGTATTTTCTCTATTTTCCATCTGCGATTCTGAAATGCTGTTATATTTTAAATTCTTAAATGCAGTCTAAATTCGTAGGCAGGATTTTTTCCAACGATTCTATACGTGATTTTATTTGTGAAGATCGTGTGGGAAAATAATCAAATATTAAGAGAGACATGGTAATCAATCATAGAATAATTGTGACAGTAATATTTCAAATCTTTATATTGTACTTACTGCTTATATTTTCATTATATATGGCATATATAGTAAGTAATTTAATTTTATGATTAATATATTTGTTTTGTTGTATACGTAATTATTGATTTAAAAAGATTTCATTATAGCATATAACATTGAATTATAATTATAAGAATAAATATTATAGACGTATTAATTAACTTTATGACTTTTATTGATGCATATTGTTATTCTATATATTTTTTCGAATTTATTAAAAAAATATATTATTTTACGCATGAAAATTTAATATACAAAAAAATTAATTAAAAAAGGTCCAGATAATTTCGATTCTGAAATTGATTTAATATTAACTTTTATCTATATATAAAAACTGGAATGTATATAGATATGATTAAAACTGCCTTTTTCGGAACTGCAAGTCAAGACATATTTTTAATTTAAAGCATTTACACTAACACTTTTAATTTAATGCACTTACATTTTTATTAAAAACTTAATTATAAAATATAATTAATTTCAATTATATGTTTTATTTTTAACTTAGAATGAAAAAATCTAAACATTGTGGAGAGAACAATGTAATCTCAAATTAATCAAAAAACTTATTACTAAATTAAATATAATCATTAAACAAAAGACTTAGAATACTTTTATCAATTTTATAAATTATATAAAATATCTTTGTTTTCGTAGATTGGACAAATTTTATCCTGTATATATGACCCTATTTGTAACGAATAATAATTATCGTCGCTAGAAAGCGTAAAACCATAAACGGAAAGTAATAATGTCTCTGCGAGAAATTTTCGAGAAATTTTATTCCGGAAGAGAGAGGCATTATTGTGAATTAACTAATGAAATTATTCGCGTAAACGCACACACAAACGTATTATAATAGTTGCCGTAAATTTATCTATTTGTTTTTTTAATTCAATTCTTTGGTCTTGAAATTAATTTATTTAATGATTTTACAATCTGACAATTTTTCCACCAATACCTTCTTAAATTAATAAGATCATATTTTAATATTATCTATTATATTGTATTATATAAATATTAAAACAATTTCATTTAGAATAATATCATTTAGGTTATTTGAATGTGGTAAAAAAATCTAATCAAATAAATTTTTTGGAAATGAAAACGTCTACTATAAGTTGGTTAAATAATTCACAGATAAAAAATAATATATTTCAAATTATAATTGAAGATGAAAGAAAACATTCCCTCCAATTCCTCTTTTTAATATTGTAGAATATGTACTGGATGAAATTGGAATTGGATAAAACTACATAAATTTTGAATGTGTTTATATCATCGCTTATCTGCATTTCAGTAGATTTAAATCTATTTGTTTCAAGATAAGGTACACATTCCAGTAGAAATTTAGAATTCTTTATTTAGTGGCCATAATGACATTATATAATCGAATCATTATTATTTTCAAATATTTTATTTTATCTACGAAAGAAATATAAATAATTTGATAAAGAAATAAATCTATGATAACAAAACTGTATAGCTCTTTATATTGAATAATAACTTGAAATAAGATTGGCTGTAAGAACAGATGTTTGTGCGCGAAAATTTTAATTTTTCGCAATCATATAAATGTGCACGAGACACGAAATTTCGCTTAACAATTGGACTTATTTGGGAAGAATCTCATATTTGAGATATTATCTTCCAAGTTCCCCTTTACCCTTCCCCCCCCTAGAGTGATGTAAATGAGAAAAATATATCTATCCGAAAAAGTCGGCTAAATCGGGAATTGATGATAAATCTATGATATTCATCTATAAATATTTGTTTCAAGATAATTGCGCGGTATAAATTTATAATTGTTTAATTAGTGGCTATATAACGATATATTATATCGTATCAAATTATTATTTTCAAATATTTTATTTATGAAAAAAATGTCTCAGACAGCACATAATATTTATAAAATATTTTTATAATAATTATAATAATTATTTTAATTCTTAATAAATATTTATCATAAATATTTTATGAATGTTTTTGGAGTCTTAGATTCAATAGGTCATAAATATTTACCATAAATATCAGAAAATATTTACGCGATAAATATTATAAATACATTTACTAAATCATTGTGATACAGATTTTTTTAAATTTATATTTTCTTTAATAAATATCCAGTAAAAAATCATGAATTAAAAAGACATAATCAACGATTTTTCAATCAAAGCAATCGGTTGATATAGTCTAATCTAAAATTTGATCGATTAGATGTTTTTGTGTTTTTCAAACTCTATTAGCAATTTAAAAAAAGTTAAAAATATGTAAAAAATGTTTATAAGTAACTCATTAGACATTTATTTTAAAATAGAATATAAAATTATAATATAACACTGAATATACTTAGACAACACAATAGTTTAACAAATAAATTTACGTACACATCGATATATACGTAAATTTATTTGTTAAAAGACATTCTGTTGCAGAATGTAGCTCAAAAATAGAAATCATTGTATGACATTTTTAATTTGATTAATTTCCGTTTTTGCCAGCCTTATATAATTCTCACGACGAAAATCAAATATGAGAAAGATATAGCGTGATAAATGAAAAAATTAACAATTTAGTTAAAAAATATTTGCAAAATAATTATTATAAATATTTATCTTTACATACCATAAATATTAAATCTATGTTTTAATAATATATTAAATAAAGGTTTTTATAAAACATTTTCAAAATATTTATATCATATTTGAAAAAATATATATATTCATAAATATTTATGAATCCTCATCATAAATATTGTGTGCTGTCTGGAGTATATATAAATCTATAATAACATCTATAATACAATCTACAAACGATTTACTATCTATAATACTATCTATAAACGCTTTATATTTATATAGAAAAAATTCTGATGGTTTGAAAAGGTGCACAACTGCGTCGAAAGTAATGTAGTGTAAAAGTAGTAATATTTAAACAATTTAAACCTTGCAATTTTTCTTTACATTTTTTCAAGAACGTGAGACAGTGAGATGCCACTTTCAGACTCGAGATTTGCCGTGGTTAATCTTAAAGAAGGAAAAGTGGTGCAAAAATATATGCGAACGCGTAGCTCGCCGATCTCTCGTCTCGACCTCTCTTGTCGAGGCATGGTACTAATAATAGCGCGACGGCAATATATTTCCCTCCGTGCGCGCGCGCAAGAGATCTGTCCGGCAACAGGTTATGCCTTTCCGATCGAATTAACTCGGCCGATCGGCAGATAATCGTTTCGCGTTATTAAATGTAAAACCTGTTCGTTCCTGGCAAAGTAATGAACCCCACGGCTCTCTACAGCTCATCAATCGCCGCTAAGACCTGCGCCTTATATCGGCCATATCGCGGTGGACGTATACGTACTAGGCACCTTTCTGTAGGGATGAAGGGGAAAAACACGAGGGCTCTATACACTCATCTAAGTGTGTAATACGAGCGGTGTCGTGCTTTACGAGAATCGCGTAATTGCCTCGAACATCGTTTTCCTCCCGACGGCCCCGGCATCCTCATCAGAGATATCAATTAAGGCGCGATTGTCCACAAGCGTGCGTTATTCACCAAAACAATGTGGATTTCTCAAGTAGTGCACAAACTTTATCATCGACCTGACTCCAAATTTTCCAATTAATATACATATAGAGGATGAGAATCCTATTCCTATCGTTGTCGCGACAATTCTATGCGTAAATTGTGCAAATACTCAATTTGTTCTTTGCATTATATTTTATATTCGTATACGTTGGTAATAAAATATTGATACAAAACAGTTAAAGATATCTTTTTTTATTATTTAATTGAATATTGTATAATCCGTGTTTTCCCGCCTGTTTTTTCTTATCTTATATCTTATATTTAATCTTTCGTACAAACACAGCTGTCAAACTGTCAGACACGGTTTTAAGTTATGATCCATGAATATCAAATATAAACACATATATGTTCTATGTATGAAATGTGCTTACTTATAAAAGTGAAGGCACTTATGATACTTCGTTTATCAAAGCGCGGATCTGAACAGATGCAATTTCAAATTTGCATCGAATCTTGAAACTCTTTCTTGACGTGTTTATAATTTCTCATTAGTAGCTTTTTTAGTAAGATTTACAAAAAAAGTACAGCTTGTCTCGCAAATAAATGTTTGATATCAAAATTTGATAATAATTCAAACGCGAAATTCATGTAATCTGTTTACTATCACGTTATTCGCCATCGCGTGCTTCTTGCAAAGTTGGTAATATAAATTTTATTTTCGTGTAAAGCGCCTCTGAAGTGATCCAAAATTAGATCTTCGTGAAATGCGCGAATGTCAGTGTACATGTTATTAATCACTTGATTTTAAGTAGCTTATTCGAGATGTAAACTTTCGGATACAATGTAAAATTTCAAGAGAATTATTTTTTTTTTACGCAAAAGCAGAACCACGTCAGTTAGAAATTAATGAGCATAATTAAAGTGCATTTTTCTGTACGCAGTATGTGCTTTTTAAAACTAATAAACATCATCATAAAATTATTTAGAAGATTTTTATCTCCTGCCTTTATGTCGTATTTATTGGCTTTTTATATATATAATAATAACTGTTTATATATATATATATATATATATATATAATAACTACAATGATAATATATAATAACTGTTATTTATTTTTATATACATATAATAATTGTTATTGTATATATAATAACTGTTTAATTGTGTTCTCTAGAAGTTTACAAGGCACTTTGAGTAGGAGCGTTTCCGAACTTGTATATATCTGAAAACTTTCTTACTTTCTTACTTCAATTATAACCTTCTCTTTTCCCTTCCTCCCTTCTCCTCTTCTTCCATTTTTATTTTTTTCCCTCTTGCTCTTCTCTCCTCCTATCTTTTTTCTTCCTTTTCCTCCTTTATTTATCTTTCTTTTATTTATCCCTCCTTCATATTTCCTCCTTCCTTTTCTTTCCTTAATTTTTTTCCAAAAACCTCTTGTTGTCAAAAGGTGTATAGGATGTTTCGCCTGTCATTTTGCGATTTTTACATGAGACCACATGTCACCCCTAGCTCTTTTTATATTTTATCTATATTAAAAAACCTTTTAAATATGTTATAAAAACACTTTAGCTAAAAAAAAACAGTAAAACGCGATATACTTTTTATTCCAATTTTTCCCATCGTTTTCTTCTCTCAGATGCAACGAAATTTCGCACGACGAGTTGGTCGCTGACTCGCAGTACGTGATAAACCGAATGACCGGATTTCAGGTGCCGCGTGGTCCCCATCGGCCGGGAAAGGGAGCCTACTGGGCGCTGCATCCCGCCGCATTATCCATGTTCGAGAACGGCTCGCTCCTCCGCCGTCGAAAGCGTTTCAAGCTGCACAAGCCGGACAAGGAGCTGCTGAAGTCCGAGTTGCAGGCGCTCGCCTCGGCGATGCCGCCGCCGTTGCCACCGCCGCCACCGCCGCCGCCGCAACCGCAGCCGCAGCCGCACGCCGCGGAATCGGCGGTCTCGTCGACCGGGATCGTCGGGAACACCGGCGGCGCGACCTGTCCCGGTGGCAACGGGGGTCTCAGCCTAGCGAATCTCCATCGTCTGCGGGACGATCTCTTACGTTGGGAGATGCAGGAGAGGCGGATGATGGTCGCGAATCACGGCGACTTCGCTGGCGCGGCCAGCTTCGGTCGTTTCGACGGCACCTCCGGTCTGCCGGCCGGCCCGGCCGCGCCGGAGGCCGTCACCGCCGGCTACTACTTGCTATCACCAGAGGTCAGGCAGAGACTGACGGGCGGCGCTGACGGCGGCAACGAGATTCTCAGGACATACGAGGCGGCCGCGTTGCTGCACTCCGCCGCGTCCTGGAACTTCTCCGGCTTCCCGACGGTCTCGCCGTCGTACGCGGTGTCGCAGCTGCCGTATCTTCAGCAGACCGCCGTCAGCAGGTCGCAGACCATTCATCCGGTGACGCGAGAGATCAGGGACGAGCGTCGGACGAGTGATCGCGCGCTGGAGAATGGACCGGTAATGACTGGCGGCAGAGACAACGAAGCGGTCTTCGCGGGTGAGAATACTTACGAGCTTACTGGCTATAATCGCGATAAATTAGCCGAGGAGGAGCCACTTTCGTCGCCCTCATCCTCATCCTCGTCGTCCAGAATGAATCTCTATCGGAGCGTCGCCGTGACCGCCGCCACCGTCGCCGCATCGTCGCCACCTACGTCGCCAATCTCGCCGAATTCGCACGCGTCCAAGTCGTCTTATCGCCATCTGTCACCTATTTCGAGCCTGGTGGTGGAGGTCGAACGTACCCAATTGCCCTCCGGCCCTCGCGAGGACCCGGTCGCGGCTACGGTCGTTCTAACTACGAACACGGAGAAGAGAGTGAAAAAACCGTTCACCATTGAGAACATTATCGCGCCTGATGATAATAACGAAAGTAGCAGCGACGGCGTTGGTGGCGTTGGCGGCAATACTGTTAGTGTTGGTGACGAGGAGATTGCCTCGAGATTGCCCGACGAATCGATCGCGAAGAAGTCTTCGCTCCTCGTGCCGAGACCGCTCTACGCTGGATACACGATGTCGATCGCGACCGCGGGAGTTCAGAGGCCTTCGTACGGCACGGCTACCTGAATCACCCGTCCGTCGTTTTGATCAGACTGCATGAACCGCAAGTTCACGAAACATCCGTTTCCAAGATTCGGAATGACGTCTTTTCGACGTATCCTCCACATAGACTCCAGGATGTTTTACGCCGTCTGTGTACACACCGTGTCTTCACTTATCTAATATTCATCAAAAAAGAAAAAGGGAGAACCCAGAGAACATTTTCAACCTATTCTAATGAAAAGAGAGACGACGGTCCATCGTTACAGCTGAATCAGATCCAAAGATATATACTAGATCTGATAATAAAGTTCAAACACTCATCACGGTACCATTGCTATATCTCATTGGTGATTATCACTGTGATCTCCTGATTATGAAGTAGTCCCCTTGTGATTCCTAAAGCTATAAACCAATGCCAATGCCTTTTCCACCCTTCAAAGCAGTTTTAGAACTATTGTGATATGGTCTTCAAAGCTGCCGTGTTATTTCCGTACGAGTTAAAGAGTTTTCGATCCGAAGCAAATAACAGTATTGAAACAATTCTTTTTTTATTCCCAAAGGAATCTTTGAAAGAAGTGCTCTTTGATCATATTGATGACATTAAGAGTAACATGACAGCAGCTCTGAAGACCATTTTACAACAACAATTCCAAAACTACTTTCAAGGAAAGGTGTTAACGGTGTGTATCTTCCCAAGAGGACTATTTTGAAGGGGACTACAGTGATAATCAGCAATAAAATATGTAGCAAGTGTATCGTGTTGAGTTGGTAAATTTTATTGTTAGATCTATGTGTATGTATTAAATTATCTCTCTATTATCATTAAAAATGTGTGAAAAAGTTCGTTTCGATTTCGATTAGATAAGCAAAGGCGTAATATATGTGGTACTTATCCGTCAAAAAGGATCCGCGAAACTTGGAATCTCTTTGAAACATTTTTCTGAAAAATTGCTGCTTACGACTTCTCGAATTCTGTCGTAAGTGTCATATTAAACGAAACGATGCGACGAGATTCAAAAAACGAAACGATCGCGCGGATACTTTTTGCTTTAATCGCGACGCAATCGATCGGATGTGATCAATATGATCCTCTGTTCAATTCGCCGCGAACAGCAGACGTGATGCAAATATAAGGAGACATCGTATAGACAATGCGTTAGAGTTCCTCATTTCGTAAATACCGTCTTCTTTTATCGAGAGATCTTTGCTTGCTGTTATTGGTTTTCGTCGCAAGAATCGCTTGGTCTCGAGAAACTTACGAGCAGTTAACAATTATAGTTACTCGTAATCTACTACGGCTATTTTATGACACGCGAAGGCGGTCATCAGTTGATTATTGTCAACCGCGAAACTCGGAAAATATGTAAGTAACTAATTAGACGATCTCTAAATGATTAGGCGCAGGCGCGAGCATGAGACACCAATGTTAGGTATATACAAGAAAATTAACAATATAAAATTACTTTACATTTCTTATATGAACCGTTTATTTTGAAAGTGGTGTAAGTCAATTTTCGAGAAAATTGATAATATTGTTGCTATGGTTACAAATTGAGGTTAAGTTTTCGTTTAAAAGAAATTTCAAGAGAAACAAGGAAAAGTGGATTTATACTATTTTCAAAATAAATGGTTCATGTATGAATATTAAAGTATTACTTTTATATTATACCTATGTTTAATTGGAGTATTTTATATAAAAGGAACAAAGTGCCAAAGATTTGATCAATCAAAGAAATCTCTACAGAACTCTTACAATTCAAAAATATTTACGTAAAGAAAAACGTATTATACATATTTTTAATAATCCAGCAACAGACAATGAACCTATATTAATTTGCTTTTTTTGTAAAAATGTAAATACATATACTTATAGATTAATATATAAATAATTTATTGACAGCACTAAATTTTAAGCAATTCGCAACCATCAGTTTGAGGAATAGATTAAGATTCACATTGTTAGACTGTAAATTATTTTTACAACATTAAGTCTCCTACATTGTGTATTCTTTGCATGAAATAATAATAAATCTTTTCTTTTGAATAAATTTCTCCAAAAAATGATATTTTAGATTTATATTATCTAAATATGAACATGCGAAAACGCTTGTTTCCTTTTATATAAAAAATGTCCAATTAATAGTCTCGATATAAAAAATTTGTAAAATTTCAAATTGCATCATCATCCAGATTTTCGCAATGCTACCAAATGCGATTATATTGATTAAATTATTCAAAATCTCGTGTTCCTTAAAAGAAGAGGCTGCTCGTTACATTCGTATATTTGCGCATCCATCTGTATTCTATACTCACTCGAGTAAAAAACGATTTGTAAATGTAGAAACGATTAGTAGCGAAATAAATTATTGTATATACGTAGAATAAGGATATATCTACAAATGAGTGTTGTTTATTTGATTCTTACCAAATAATCCCTTTAAATTTTATCCTTCGACGATCATATTCATTCTTATCAGTTTATATATTTTATAAATTGAATTTGTAATTTTTAAATAGTTTTTCATACAAACTTTACAAATACATATTATAGAACATTTTCCTCTTTTATTTGCCTCCCTTATTCTCCCCTTTATCAATTTTTTTCTCTAGACATTTTTATCGAAAATTATTGAGGAACTATTTGTTTTATTTTAAAGGCTAACTTATTTTCTATTTATTGCCTTCTCCTTTTTTCTTCTTCCATTCCAGTTTCAAAGATATAAAAACATTTATTTTTAAAATTCCTTTTTTGTTAATATAACTATATCTAATATTCATTTTTTAAATTTTATTTTAATAAATTGTTAAATGTTCAAAGTTCTTGAAATTTATGCGCATTATTTCTATCTTTTTCTTTCTAATATCGAATTTCGTATATTTGAATTTGAGTTTTAGCGTAATAAACTGAACATCCTTGCATTGAATCATATACTTGTATTACTCAAGAATTTTGACAGAAATTAAACACGTATATATTTTTGTACTTATAAGCAAATACGCATAACTCAATTGCAGAAAAGGATTTTTAATGTAAAGAATTTATAATATATAAAAATAAAAAGAATAAATTAAAAAATACATATAGAAATTAAGATTTAATTTCTTTAAAGTTTTCACAACAATACAGAATAATTTTTTCTAATAAATTTTTATAATTTTTTCAAAACTTTTCAAAGCGATTTGCAATACATTACGTACATTGATTAAAAGGTAACTTGCAAAATTAAAATATTTTTTTACTTATTGTAGAAAACGAGCTTTAAGAAGTACAATTTTATAAATATTTTTAAACAAGTATTTAATGACAAACAGTAAAAATAAATTTCAAAAAACGAATATTTGAGAGGGCACATCTTCTACACTGCAAACTTTGCAAAACTGTCTGGAACTCTTTAGTTTTCAATATTTTTTACAACTTATACAACGCATGTCTCAAGCAGATCACAAAATCCAGACGATTTACTTATTCTGCTGCAAACTACACTAGCACACGAAATGGGGTATACATTTGTGGAAAAATAACATGGTTGTATTACTTGTTACACGCATATTCTCTTGAGATATACGTAACCGTTATAAAGTCATATTTGATGGGCGCTCGTCGGGAATACACGGACGGAGAGGCGTGTGTTTGTCAATTAAGTGGAAAAACGTGTTGATTTCACGCATGGCTCGGGATTACGGGCACAATGGAGATTGTTTAAAAGCGCTTTGTTGTCGGGAATGGGAAGCGCGGACCACCATGCCGCGTCGAACCGTGGCCGCGACCCATCCCGACTTTTTTTCAACATATACCCGGCTGCCTTTCTGCGCTCTCCTTCCATGGGAGTCCGCGTAGCGTGCGTAATAAAAAGGATTATCCGTAATTTCTGCCTCTAATGGGGACGGGGGAAGATTTAATAAGGACTACTTCAGCGAGTCACGCTCGTTGGTGGGTCTCTCTCGTTGCGTTCCGCGATACGTCTTGAAGGAGGATAGGATATAGAGAGTGCGAAAGAGTGTAAATAATTTTTGGGATCGATTCTTCCTCTCTCTTTGTTGTATCGTGAAACCGTTGTTAAACGAATCCTTCACGTTTGTCTGTTTTATCGACCAATTATTATTTTCGCACTTCTAGTTTTTTGTCGCATTAATTTGACAGAATTAAAAATGTTTCTCGACGATTGCAATACACACATCAATGATCCCAGGGAAGTTCGATTTCATATGAAAAACGAGAAATAATTATGAAATTACAGTTTTCCTTATCAATTTCTATTTCAATATGACGTCTCGAATGACAGACGAGCTCAATTCATCATATGTTGCTTTATAAAAAATATACGTTTTATATGAATATGTAAACATGAGATCCCTGGGATTAAGATACATGGAAAAGAGAACTGTTATCTCTAAATCTAGATTAGAAGTTTAATATAAAAGTATAGTTTGTATTATGATTCCTACGTATGTGTACGTGCGTTGTAGGTATAATAGAGCAAAAAACAGCAATACATATTTACGTTCAAACCTATAATAGTATTAAATGTAGCAGAAAGTGTTTTCATGTGCGCTATGTATACATGGATTTCTAATACATATTTGATCTGAATGATTTATGATGTGAAATTCAAAATATCACTATCAAAGAAATTTTTTTATTTATTTGAAATTATAGTTCTTGTTAACGATATACGCTAAAATTAACACAACTTTATCAGTTTTATATCACAAATTAAAAATGAAAAAAAGGATTTGTTACAATTTATAATACCGGCTAAATTGCTAAATTATACCCATAAGTTTTTAAATCATATCTTTAACAATAAAATTAAAACATGGTAACAAAAATGAAGTTTTATTTTCTATAAAAGTTCTCAATCTGCAACAAAACATATCTATAAAAATGTCATATTTATAATTATAAATTTTCTTCAACAATTTAACAAATATACTTTTTACATTACACAAAAATATAAACAAGTATTATCTCAATATAATTATAAAATTTAATAATATTCTCTTCAGTTGTCCATCAAATATAAAGAAAAAAAACTACTGCCTAAGTAAAAAAATAGATTTAGTAAATCATATCAATACGATTGTAGAAAATAGTGGTACGTTTTACCGAACTTCCATTGCTTTGTCAAAAATTTGAGAATAAAAAAATAATCTTAAAACATTTTGCCGATTTTCTGAACGCTTCCATACACACACACACACATATATATATATATATATATATATATATATATATATATACAGGATTAAATAAGATAAAAAATGCTTTAATAATAAGTTTAACTACTTGTCTTTGTCAATGTGATAGTTTAGGGACGGGGCATCAAATATTACATGAAAATCGCACAAAATAAATTTATGAACGTCACTCAGCAACGGATCACTTGAAAGAAACAAACATTGCGGTATTCAAGTGAAGCTAGCTGCAATACAAAAGCGTCAACACCTTAAAATATTTTAACTCCGTTTAAAAAGTACAATAGAGGTACATTGATTAAAGGTACATTGATTTAATAAACAATACGATTTAACATACTGTCTTCTACATTCATTTAATATACTTTCAAACTTTATTGCAAATTTATTTTTGTCAATTTATATAATATAATTTTTATAATTTAAAAACAAATGCACATATTCAATTACTTCTTGTCTTTATGTTAAAAATACATTATTAAATTATGACGGATATATCATTAATCAGCTATCTCCTACGTTATTGATTTTTGTAAAAAAAAAACACGTTACAGATCTTAATTATTCTAGAAATATCAAGAAAAATGATTCAGATCAAATCACAATGATAATTATCGAATATTCCGTGTCTCGATTCGACAAGAAAGTAAAATAGACCCGACATCGAAAATGTGCACATGATTATATACGAGATATCGCGATTGGCAAACCGTCATAAGCGACTAAATAATGGCGACGCGATAGAGCGCCATTATTACTTTCCATCGAGAACGATTTATGGACAAAGCAGTCGCGATAGAACTCGGCACATCGACCTCGTATACGATCAATCGTTACGCTCTATAACTACGCGAATCGATTATCGTTAATAAAGCTCGTTAAGGCAGCGCTCGGCAAACAAGTCGGTAGGGTATAGTCCCTCACCTAGAGGTCACCTGGACTAGTAGTAGTTCACGTCAACCAGCAGTTCGATTTAGCGTGCACCGACCGCCGTACTAGCTGTAAAATATTTAGATAAAAACATCGCGATGGAATATACGATGCCTGTTTTTGGAACCTTTGTACTCTTTGAAAGCGAGATTAAGAGTAATTTTACAAATATAAAAAAGTGATGAAGAAACAGGCAGATGCGAATCAAAGCCCACAAAAAATCAGATTTGAGAAATGTAGTTTTTTTTTATATTTTGATATTCCCTTTTGTTTATTTATAAACAGCTGTTTAGTGTACGCCTGTTTAGTATTTGTGGCAACAATATTTTAAAATATATAGATTTATAAAAAAATGAAAAGTTTTCATATTTCACAAGCTTATTTTTTTTGAAAGCACTAGCGACACATGATAAATTATTCAGTCCGTATATCTTTTCTGCTCTCTAACTCAATATTATATTTGTAGAAAGCTTAAATTATAAGTTTTTGACAAAAGTCGTATTCTTTAGTAAAAAAATCGTGCGCATATATTTTATTTTATAGATGTTTGAGCGAATTTAGGGTATTTTGGAGATGTTAAATCCAAAAATGAGAACTGTTTTGCCGAATTGGCTCTAATTTTTGAGATGCATATAGTTACGATTTTACCCCAAATAGGTACGACCTGTAGCTGCTGACATATGGAGCAAGGTTTGGTTTGTCCTTTTCAACATGATCCAGATAACCCATATAAAAGAACATCGTACAAACAGCATTTTTCTATGCATTAATTGTAATTATCTGAATCAACTTACTTTTTATGTTACTTTAGTGAATACAATGCCATTAGGTATTTCATATATTATATATATTTTTGTATGATTGGAGACAGTTTGCATATGATTTGAGAATAGCCTACGTCTATTATATAATTTTTGCATTTTTTTATGTTTTATATAGAACATCCATTATCTCAAAAATTAGAGCTAATCTAGGAGAACCAATGTTATGTATTCGGAATCAATGACACAAAGTTACTTTACAATCAATTTAATATAATTGACAATAAAATCAGTATAATAACAAAACGATTTAAATAGTATAATTATTGATATAAAGATATGGATAAATAATTTTGTATATATTTTTTAGAGGAATTTATGAGATTTTTCTTTTAGTCATTCATTCCTTCTATATGTAGATAAATATGTAAAATAAATTTTTTTCAAAAAGAACGCGAATATGTGTGCAATGTGTTATAAAAATCAGAACGGAAGAATTTGAAAAATCAATGT